CTTCACTGCTGGCCGTATGAGGACGGACGCTCAAGGTCGTTCAGCGAGCTATGGAGAGGGCTATTTTCGGGGTTTCTCTGCGTGATAAACTTAGAAATGAGGATATCCGCTGTAGAACCAGTGTGACCGATATAGCTCAGCAGATTAGTAAGCTGAAGCGGCAATGGGCCGGCCATATAGCTTGAAGAACCGACAACCGATGGGGAAAAAAGTTTCTCGAGTGGCAGCCTCGCACTGGTAAGCGAAGTGTAGGGCGGCCCCCACTAGATGGAGTTACGACGTGGTAAGACATGCAGGAAGTCGATGGATGCAGGTGGCTCAGGACCGTGCTTTGTGGCATTACTTGGGGAGGCCTATGTTCAGCAGTGGATTTGTAGGAAGGGCTGTAATGATGATAAATGATGATGGTATAGTCCGGCCGCTGTGTTATTACCGATTTGACACATGACGAATTGACAATACTAGTGAAGTGACTGAACCAGTAACCCTAATATCATTTGGGAACAGTTTGTTTTTAAATATTCTAGTATAGTGTGTAATTAAATAAAATCAAAACAATAATAGTTAAAGACACAGGTTCTTTATTAGGTGGAGTATCCTTGATGGGCGTAGATAATTGGTCGAGGACATATCAAAATAAAACAAATTTGTAAACACGGTTACACATTTTAATGAATAGAGTAGGTACAAGATGTTTTAATAAATGACTACCTATCATTTATTAAAACAATTATTCAGACTCTGAACCAGATTCGCCAGAGCTGTCATCGCTATCAGTCACTTGTATGACAATTTCATTCTCTATAATGGTGTCCACTCTTATATCGCGTTCATAATCTTCTGTTATTAGTTTTCGAGTCTTTTCGACGGCCTTGACCCAATCTTCTTTCGTTATTTTGCTGCAAGCATCTTTTAATAGACCCATCATTTTATTAGTACTGAATGGCGGAGTCGTATTATTACGAGCTGCGTAACCTGTAATGTAAACATTAAATAACGTTAATTTATTACATTAAATAAACGAAATGTTACACAATTACCTACATGTAAGGGACATGAGATATTTATTTCTTAGTTATGTATCTTTTTACTTATATGCTGAATATTGGATGTTATAATAGTACAAATTATTCATATTCATAACTTATGCGATAAAAAACAATACCTTTGATTTGTGCCCATATTAGCTCAATGGCATTGTACTGGCAGTGATAAGGCGGAATTCGAAGTACCCGATGTCCTTGTGCTAGAGCCATCTCATCTACTTCATAACGGACTCTTGATGTTTTATTTTCGCGTACCAACTTTACTAAGTCAGACTTTAGCATTTCGGCAGTAGTTTCAATTCCATTTTGGTGTAGCCATGCTACGAGATCAGATTTCTTGTTGGCCTGAGTAGGCGCTTTATTCACTTGTTTCGAGTGATATGAAGCGTTGTCCATTATTATGATAGAAGGCTCTGGCAGGCTGGGTAATAATTGATTTTCGAACCAATTCGTAAAAGTGTCTGTATCCATCTGCTCGTGGTAATCGGAAGTACTTTTTGACGCGAAAGCCAGCAGTCCATTTTCAAATAAAAACCACTTCCAGCAGAACCGGCGTGACAAATTATCAGTCGCGATCCTTTTCCAATTGGAACCTTTGAGGTTGATGCTTTTGTTTCGTCTGTCCAAGAGCGTGACACAGTGTGGTTCGCATTTAACTATGTTTCGTCAACAAAAACGACGTTGTCCCAAGACTCGATTTTTCTGGCTTCTCTTAAAAACTCGATCCTTTTAATTATTAAATCAAATCTTTCCATTAATATTTTCCTTTTATTCGTTTTTTATATTCAAACCCAATTTCGTGCAATAGTTTTGACAACGCCGTTTTACCGCCTTTAAACAAGCCAGCTTCTTTTAAAGAGACCAAAAGCAAACGTCTAGTTGGAAACTCGTTCCTATTATAATAACCATATATGTGGTTTCTTATTGCATCTGCATCAAAAACATCAACACCTGTCACGGGCTTTTGTCTTCGTTTTTTCTTAGGAGTGCCTAAAACATTATCTTCACTTCCAGAAGCACCAAATTTTTCTTTATTTATATTATATAGTGTTTTTGCACCAATTCCAAGAGCTTGTGAAACCCGATCTTTCACTTGAATGAAAGGAATCAAAGGGCCGCCATTTTTTACTCACGCTCAAAGTAATCCTGTAGCTTTAGTACAAGCTCACGACATTGACTATTCAATGTTTTTCCTCGTTTCGGCATTTTCAACAAAATTACCAAACACAAACAAAATTAGTCCAATAAAGCGCAACGATAAACAGGAGAAAGCCGAGTCAAAAAACAACGGTTACACATGAGAACGTAGTCTGTGCGCACGAGAGTACGGAAGACGACTAAACACTAAACAGATTAAAATAGCGGTGGTAAGGGTGTTGCCAGAATAGTATCGCCAATTACTTAAAAAAATACACCTATAACATTGCTTAATTGAGGGAGAAAATTATATTTATTAAATGTTGTTATATATATCATGAATGTTAAAAATTATACATAATCATTTTAATTGTATTTATTTTTAAATCATAGAAAACAGTATTTCTGTCTTTGGATCACACATAAATCTTAAAAATCATAGAGATACTGGCAACACAGTGCAATTAGGAGACGTAAAAAAATGGTAGCATTATAGTCTAGTTGCTCGAAGGAATAAGTAAAATAAAAATATCCAAATAAAATCCAATGAATTCGGACCGAATACTATCAAGCACGTCACTATGAAAACTAGACGCACGATGTAACTTTGTACAAGCGCGCCAAAGAACAAAAAATAAATGTTTTCATATTATTTACAAACTATTTTAAGTTTTGAAACAGAGTTTATTGGAAAATTACTTGATTCTGACATTTTGACATAAAGTTTTATATTAAAGAGGTATTCTAAATCATTCGGCAAATGTGTCGCTCGTGCAAGGTTATATCGATTAATTTAAGAATAATCTGTCAAATCGGTAATAACTCAGCGGCCGTACTATAGTGATCACCTCATTTCCAAGGGTTATTAAAATCAAAAAATTTCGCATCTTTTGTTTCCAGTAAATTTTTTTGTAAAACTTACCGTTTACGATTTATGGCCCATTTAATGAACAGGCGGTGCTTCAAGCGCCATCTTGAAAAAAACGTTTTCATCCGATATCTCGGAAACAATGCACTTTAAGGCAAAAGTTATACAAATAATTATTGTAGAAAATAAAATTTCGCATCTTTTGTTTTCAGCAAACTTTTTTGTAAAACCTACCGTTTACGATTTATGGCCCATTTAATGAACAGGTGGCGCTTCAAGCGCCATCTTGAAAAAAACGTTTTCAGCCGATATCTCGGAAACAATGCACTTTAAGGCAAAAGTTATACAAACAATTATTGTAGAAAATAAAATTTCGCATCTTTTGTTTCCAGCAAACTTTTTTGTAAAACATACCGTTTACGATTTATGGCCCATTTAATGAACCGCTTTTTCTATCGCGGCCAATAACTCTTGAAATATTAGATTAATCAATAAAATGCATAAATTTATTTTGAAAGATTAGTTTATTTTCCAAAACTTTTTTTTCTAACATTCATACTTTTGAGTTATAGGACGTTTCGTGTCACGCATAGCTGCCAGCGTCACCTGCCGAGCTCGGCCGACGCTCGGCAGGTAACGCGGCAGCTACTTTATGATTAAGAACCCGGATTTTATTGCTATTATTTCGGGGAATTCCAAGTAATACGTCATTATTGTTTACTAACTACGACTTACGGAGTCTCATTTTTGAAATTCGAGTTATAGAGTATAAATATCTATTATCAATATTTCGTAGGGAAATAACATTTTCTTCGAGTTACAAAGTCTAATAATTCGAGATACCGCGTATTTAGGGGTTCAGCGGAAGGGAATGGCAATTTTTTTCGACTTACTTACGAGCAACTTAATATTACCAAGTTTTTAAGTTTATATGTGAACTATATAATAATATAATTATTTTTAAATGTTATTTATAATCTTATCTATGGTTTCGAGTAAACTTAGTAATCACATACTCTTTGGTTCTAAGGCGTCCCTCTAAATATTAGTATACTCTTTGGCGCGGTCTAACAAGGAGACATTGACGTTTCCATATGGAGACTTGTTATTTATGTATGGAGACGCCGAGCTTTTAAGGGTTAAGTAAGTATGTATATATTACTAACTATATATCTATTCTATTAATTTTCATTTTATTTTGTTTTATATCCGTATTATTTATTTAATAAGACGTTGATTACACCTGCCACAGTTTCTCAAATCTCATCCAGGGTTGACTGGCAGAGAATGCCATAAGGCATTATGGTGATGCCTCGAAAATTTTGTGGTTTTTCTATTTAACATATTTTTTTAAGTTTTATTTATTACAAACCAAAACTTTGGTATACGATTTTTGACTATATGACCTTCGATTGCATAAAAAGAAAACACGATATCATGTAATTTTCTCGATAGAAAAAAATTGCAAAGTAGGCTCTAATTATTTACATTTCTCGATGACACCACAATATTCTTACGAATAAGTTCAGGGATTATTTTTAAGGCATAGTAAATAATCATAATCAATCATAATAAAATAATCATATCTAAATTCCCATAAACCAGTTTTTTAATCCATAACGAAGTTTTGTTAAAATAAATAAGTGTTGTTTGGCGATTACGTATTTTTTTTCCGAGCGCTTGCTCGGTATGGCTATCTCATAATTTGCGTACTATGAAGTCATTGCATCACTTTCATTTCGACACTCCCTCAGTCGTCCGTTAGCTTTACCGACCAAGGAATAAGCCACGCCCCCAAAACTTCGATTCATTTTCAAGGTATCCTCTTAAGTCTGCCCTTTATATCCCTTAGTATATAAGGTGTATAATAAAGATTAAATAAATAAAGAGAAAATATCCCACAGAATAAACAGCTTCCAAGCACTGAACTTGAGAGGAGCGCTACGGTGATGCTTCAGGAAGCAGGCTTAGCGGACATGCAAACATGCGAACCCATCGAAGTGGAAACCCTCACTGAAGCATCTGGAAAGCCTCTGGGTAATCTGGACAGGACTGAAGTTTCACTTGGCGACTCTGAACCGACTACTTCCAAGAGATTTATACTGTGAGTAATTCTATATCTTGTTGTAGAGTAAGTGCGACAAACAAGCACAGAGCCCACCTGATGGTAAGTGGATGCTGTGGCCCATAACCTGCCTTCTTTGTACGAGGTTGGCTGCAGGCAGGTGTCCATGGACTGTCATAGATAACCACTTCCCGTCATGTGGAATGTAATTTAGTTTGTCACTAAAATAAAAAATAAAAACAATATATACTTATGTAACTGATACAAAATTAGAAGATAGTCTTATCCGAAATGATCACACCGCACTTTACTCGGAGATTTTCCCATTTTGATTAAAAATATATTTCGTTTACAGTGACCAATGGGGGACCGAGGGAACGATGATTAAAATCTTGCAAAATATAAAGGAGGGGTCAAGACCGATTACTATCAATAACCTAGTAATGAAGGAACCAACACTACCAGGAAAAAGTAATATAATAGCAGTGCGCTGTTTTTCTTCCGTACTCAGTATGAACAGATTAAACCATTAATACATTATAAACTACCTAATAATAAAAATAGACCAACAATAGTTATCTACTTTCAGAATTGAAGCAATGGGGCTTCAACCAAGTGTGTAAAGATCCACAAACTATGGAAATTACAGACATATTTTTGGGACTGAAATTTGATACAGTAATGTGAATTTATTATTGTTGTTTGTTTCTTAATAAATAAATTAAATATATAAAGTAATTATTTAAATTATTATCTTACTGAAAATATCTTTATCTATTTCAATAAAACAATATAGTATCTAATAAAAAATTACGATAAACAGTTTTAATGGGTGATTCAGGTAGAAATACTTTTTTCAATAGCCTTTTTTTGACAGATCACGTGTGAGTCGTGTCATGCTGTCTTGTTATTTTTGTTTAGTATTGTTTGGCATTTCATAATGGAAAGACTTACGCCTGAACAACGTTTACAAATCTTTCAACTTTATTACGAAAATTCACATTCTGTGAGGAATGTGTTTCGTGCACTTCGCTCAACCATATCAACATAATCGGCCTACTGAGCGTACTATTCGCAACACCATCACCCATTTTGAGACCCAGCATTCATTATTGGATAATATTCGACTGAATAGACCACGTCCAGCACACTGTGAAGAAAATATAGCGGCCGTAGCTGAGAGTGTACACGAAGACCGTGGAGAGTCGATTCGGCGCCGTTCGCAGCAACTCGGACTGACATATGACATATGGAACGACTTGGCGCATTTTACGTCGAGATTTTAAACTGAAAGCGTACAAAATACAACTTGTGCAACAACTGAAGCCGCTCGAGCTTCCCAAGCGACATCGCTTCGCTCTATGGGCTCTTGAAAAGTTCCAAGAAGATCCGACGTTTTCGAGGCAAATTTTGTATAGCGATGAGGCCCATTTCTGGCTCAATGGGAATGTAAACAAACAAAATTGCCGCATTTGGGACGAAGAGCAACCTTGATGAACCCTGAGGAGATTCAAGAACTGCTGCCACTTCAACCAAAAAAAAAACAACGGTTTGGTGTGGTTTGTGGGCCGGTGGAATCATCGGTCCATATTTCTTTAAAAATGATGCCGGTGCGAACGTAACTGTTAATGGCGACCGTTATGACAACATACTATTTGATGCCTGAAATTGAAGCTCGTGATCTCGGCGCCATTTGGTTTCAGCAAGACGACGCCACTTCCCACACATCGCATCAATCGATGGCTTTATTGAGAGAACATTTCGGTGAGCACATAATTTCACGTTTTGGGCCGGTCGACTGGCCACCAAGATCGTGTGATATCACACCGTTAGACTTTTTCCTGTGTGGTATAGTTCGGTGGCTGTAGAGTGACATAGGCTACTTTTTGCGGAAAAACATATAATTCCCGTGGGAAAATCGAATATGTTGCAAAATGAAATTCAGCTAGGTGGTGCCATCGTGATTCTACAAGACGGACGACGGTACGATGGACGAACACAGAAGGTCAGAATATCTGGATTATTATGTCATTTTAGCAAAATTAAGATAAAAAATGTATGGATCTGTATTTTTCCACGCAGGACCGGGAAGAGAGCGATAAAAAATATAAAATTCACCAGCTGATTTTCTTTAAACGTTTTGGTGCATTGTAATTCACAGAATAGGCGATAACCTCGCAGACGATATTAAGTAATCCGTTGATACTCTGCCTACCCCGCAACGGTTACAGGCGTGATTATAAGTATGGATCAGAAATACTATCACCACCTGTCACGATTTCACCCTTAACTATTACTTAACTGTGGTAGAAACAGTTCTTAGTAAGCCTTATTAATAAGCCATAGTAATATTTATTGAACGGAAATGAATACAGTTCTTATATGTGGTTATGAATGAATCGGTATTACAATAAGAAAAATTGTGCAAAATTATAAGAAAAATATTTTTTCAGAGTTCTTATTAACTAACGTATACATAGTTTAAATTGATTCCGCTCTACTATGTCGTTACTAGGTTAGTAGTAGTTAGTCGTTAGTAGGTGATTTTTAAAACGCGGTAACGAAATGTTTCTTGACATGTACTTAACTCCCGCCGTTGAGCCGCACTTCAACTTATACCGCATACGGTACCTATACGCTTAAATTGTTTCTATTTCGTAGCTTATTCGACTACCTGCTCCTGCTTTCGATTTCGGTTGTTTGTTATTTGCTTTGTGATTTGGTTAAGGTTGAATGGATTTATATTGGCTTTCATTTTCGGATTTGTGTATTTTATTGGATCGGTTTTGTTGATTTGGTTGGTATTCCTTTATACATATTTAGACTCTGACTTTGATTTTGGATTTTGTTTATTTTGAATCGTGAATTGGTTTTCGTTGTTTTAGGTTGTTTACAATATTTCAAAGGAATATTAATAGTATAGATAGTGTATACGAAACCTATACACTTACTTCTTTTTTCGTTGGTTATATTTATATTGACTACTGCTTTCAATTTCAGTTTTCTGCGATTTGTTTTGTGATTTGGTTTAAGTTGATTCGATTTTTTTTGGCTATCGTTTTTGGATTCGTGTTGTGTCTTGAATTGGTTTTGTTTTGATTTTAAAAAATATTTAAAAGGAAATTTAATTCCTTCTAGGTATTTTAACGTTTTTTTATAAATAGGTTTTTTGTTACTTCATAATGCCCCGCAAACGTAAGTCCAGCCTTTAAAGAGTATCTTCTCAAAGACAAGTGAAAAGATTAGCTCGATCGCTAGAATCTTTAGAAGATGCTGAACTGAGAAGGCAAGAACAAGCAGAGCGTCAGGCTGCTTTTAGAGCATCTGAGACACCTTCTCAACGTCAGAAAAGGCGTCTTGAACAGACAGAGCGTCAGGCTGCTTTAAGAACTTCCGAAACACCTCTCAAAGTCAGCAAAGGCGTCTTGAACAGGCAGAGCGTCAAGCTACTTTAAGAGCTTCTGAAACACCTGCTCAAAGTCAGCAAAGGCGTCTCGAACAGACAGAGCGTCAATCTACTTTAAGAACTACCGAAACACCTTCTCAAAGTCAGGAAAGGCGTCTTGAACAGGCAGAGCGTCAAGCTACTTTAAGAGCTTCTGAAACACCTTCTCAAAGTCAGCAAAGGCGTCTTGAACAGACAGAGCGTCAGGCTGCTTTAAGAACTTCCGAAACACCTTCTCAAAGTCAGGAAAGGCGTCTTGAACAGGCAGAGCGTCAAGCTACTTTAAGAGCTTCTGAAACACCTTCTCAAAGTCAGCAAAGGCGTCTTGAACAGGCAGAGCGTCAAGCTACTTTATGAGCTACTGAAACACCTGATTAAAGTCAGCAAAGGCGTCTTGAACAGGCAGAGCGTAAATCTACTTTAAGAGCTACTAAAACACCTGCTTAAAGTCAGCAAAGGCTATTCGAACAAGCGAAACGTCAGGCCGCCTTAAGAGCCGCGGAAACAACTGATGAAACTCAACACAGACTCATTGAGCAAGCTGAACTTCAATCTTCTATAAGGGCATCTGAAACACCAGAACAGACACAGGCGCGAAGAGATGCAAATGCACATCTCCAAGCTGAACGTCGATAAAATTTTCAAAGAAAAAATTGGTCGGGTTTTAATGAAGCAGCATTCAATTATGATCCGTTGATTGATTACAAAAATCACAGGTTAGTTGTTATCGGACTGATGGACAAGGCGTGTCGATTTTGCAGCTCTTCAAAATGGAAAGCTGTTCCAATGGCAAAGTGTCTCTTCCGTTACTTGGGGAACCAGAAGAACCTTTGAAAACTCTCTTTTTATATGATGCTAATGGGTCACGGCGCGTTTTAAACAGGATCCGGAAATATAACTCATGCTTTCAAATGACGTCCTTCGGAGTACACCGGGAAATAATAATGCCGGGATTTTCGCCTACATTTACGGTGCAAGGGCAAATTTATCATACAATAGGTTCACTTTTTCTGGCTGAAAACGAACTGCATAAATTTTTACAAGTATATTTTATGGGTGACGAAGAAATTGAGGTAGACCGTCGCTGCCAATTTATCCAGGGATTTGAGAGAGACACAGTGTTCAAAATTCAAAGATTCTTGCATGAACGTAACATTTTAGTCAAAACATTTAAAACTGCTTTAGAAAACCTACCTGAAGAGGATTATAAAGTCGTCATTAACGCAGATCGGACCCCTCGAGGAGAGCATGAAAGGCGCTACAATGCACCTTTGATAAACGAAATAGCAGCCGTAATTAGTAGTGATCAATGTTCTTCACGAAACATTGTCTTGCGAGCACGTGATGATACGTTGCAACGGGTAGCCGATACACACAAGTTTTATGACGCTCTGCAATACCCATTGATTTATTGCAAAGGACAAGAGGGTTATCATTTTCAAATTCCACTCATTAACCCGGTCACAAAGGAGCCTACTCCGAACAAAAAAGTATCTTGTATGGATTTTTATGCGTATCATATGATGTTGCGAGAAAATGATTTTAACCTCTTAGCCCGGTGTAGACAATTATTTCATCTATTTTTGGTAGACATGTATGTTAAGGTAGAAATTAAACGTCTCCGTTATATATCTTTAAATCAAAAAAAGCTGCGCGTTGAGAATTATATACATTTACAAGATGCAGTTTCTAGCGAAGCCAATGTAAACCCCAGAGATTTAGGTAAAATGGTAATTCTGTCCTCATCATTCGTTAACAGTCTCCGCTAACTACATGAGTACACACAAGACGCTTTCGCCTATGTACGAATTTACGGAAGACCTGATCTTTTTGTTACTATTACTTGCAATCCCACATGGAAAGAAATAACCGAGGAGCTAATGCCGGGCCAAAAAAGTACTGACAGACACGATTTAGTTGCTAGAGTATTTAGATTAAAAGTACAAAAATTAATGTATGTAATTAACAAAGGTAAAATTTTCGGAGAGGTGCAGTGCTTCATGTATTCAATTGAATGGCAAAAAAGAGGATTACCGCACGCCCACATTCTAATATGGCTTAAAGAGAAGTTGCGGCCCAGCCAAATAGACGACATAATCAGCGCCGAGATTCCGGATCCTGAGCAAGACTTTGACTCTCCTGTCACATTTGGTGTTCCACAAGGGAGTGTACTTGGTCTCACGTTATTTTTAACTTATATAAATGATCTTTGTGAATTAAAAATAACAAATGGTAAATTATT